GGAACTCCCACTGTTTCCAAAATCGTTCTCCAGAAACTTAGCAGTAATGGACTCCACAATTCTAGTGCCGCGATTTGGACAGTAAAACTTATATCCCTTGATCTATCCGGATACCCAATAAAGTAGTCAGGAGTTGATTTAGGGTCTAATTTCTTTTCAAATGGATTATAAATCCTAACCTTAGCTGGACATCCCCAAACTTTAAAGTGAGCCATACTTGGCTTACGTCCTGTCCATAATTCAAAAGGTATCTTTGCAACAACTTTACTTGAAACTCTGTTCAAAATATACACAGCCGTTTTCAAAGTTTCACCCCACAAATATTCAGGCAAATTTGTTCTACTCATCATACTTCTAACCATATCTTTTAGAGTTCGATTACGTCTTTCAGAAACACCATTCTGCTCAGGTGTCCCTGACATGGTGTATTGGAGCACTATTCCACACTCTTGTAAAAATTTTGCAAAATCACCCATATTTTGACCAAACTCGTCATATTTTCCATAGTACTCACCACCTCGATCAGATCTTACAACTTTGATATTTTTCCCACATTGTTTCTCTACTTCTAGTTTGAAAACTTTGAATTTCTCAAGTGCATGTGATTTGTCGTTAATCAAATAAACATATCCATATCGTGAGAAATCATCAATGAAAGTTATGAAATATTTATTCCCACATATAGTGGAAAGCAAAGGTCCACTGATATCATTGTGAATTAAGTCCAAAATTCCATTACTCCTAGTCGAACCCTTTCTCGTAGACTTAGTTAACTTTCCTCTTATACAATCTATACAGGTGTGAAAATCAGAGAAGTCTAAAGAAGGAAGTATCTCATCTTTTATTAATCTTTCCATTCTATCCTTAGAAATATGACCCAATTGCTTATACCAGAACATAGAGGATGATTCACGAATTAAAGCCCTTTTCTTTGATACATTTGTAACACACGAGATATCACTAAAAGAAGCCAAAGATAATTTATATAAACCATTACATAAAATGTCATTTCCAATCAAATGAGAATCATTAAATAACTTAACCATTCTATTACCAAAATTAAATGTAAAACCACAAGCATCAAGTTTTGGTATAGAAATTAAATTCCGTCTCATCTGCGGTACATAAACTGTATTTTTCAAAACAAGATAAAAACCAGACTCTAAAGTTAACTTCACTACTCCTATGAATTCAACCTTCACTTGAAATCCATTTGCAACGCTCAAACTTACTTCATTCTCACTTGGCCTCCGTTTGCTTATCAACCCCTGCAAGGAATTCGCAATATGAATACTAGCTCCCGAGTCTAACCACCAAGAATTCAAAGGGACATCTACTAAAGAAGACTCAAAACAAACTAAGGCTAACGGAATACCTGAAGAACTCTTATTCTTTTCCAACCAAGTCTTGAACTTAAAACAGTCTTTCTGCCAGTGACCCTTCTTTTTATAGAACTTGCATTGATCATTTTTCTTTATAACTACTTTGGGACCACTAAAATTATTATTCTGCTGACTTCGATGGGATTTATTACCCTTACGAAACTTCGATTTATGATTATGAGAAGGCCCCTTATTCTGTGATGGCTGAAAAGCTAACTGCACAGTTTCAACAGTTTCACGACGCATCCTATACTCTTCTTGGGCACACACTACCATGAGGTCATTCAAATTTCACTTATCCCGCTAAGCATTGTAAGCAATCTTAAGCTGATTAAACTTGCTAGGAAGGCTATTCAAAACATGATAGACCAGGAAAGGCTCCGCAATGGGAATGTCAAGAGCCTTTAGCTTAGATGATATATTTATCATTTTTATGAAATGCTCCCTAACACCACTTATACCATCATATTTCATGCTCATAAATTTATCCATCAATCCCCAGTTTCGGCTTTATCAGACTCAATAAATCTTTCTCCTATGGCATCCATAAAACTTTTGACATTTTCATTATCAGGGATGGCACCTAGAATGGAATCAGATATCTAATGATTTTCAAACAGAGTTTGTTAGCCCTTTCTCACTTTTCATGCTCGGCTACATATTCAACGGTACTCTTATCTGTGGGTTTTTCAAGCTTTTTCTGCATTGCAAAATCCAAGCCCAAAAGACCAAGTGCTATTTCTACGTCTCGTTTCCATCTCACATAGTTATTCCCAGTCAAAATTTCAATAACAGACAATTGATTCGAAAGAGATGAGACATTATAAACTGTGGAAACATAAAATATCACATTCAATATCATCCAAACGTAATGCATGCAATCAAATGGATGATGAAATGTCCAACTAATTAATATGGGCTATTAATTAGATAATCCGTAATTTAAATCGAAACATATGAATTTTATTACGGTAAGAGCCTAGGTACATCATCATAAAGTCACCTTTGCGTCGACAGTACAACATGCTATAAGGTACTCTCAAAACACATCATGTAGCCAGTTAACAAAATTACACTGATTTTCGAAACACCAACACCTTTGGGCAGAAGGAAATTTTTAAACCAAAATAAACTCGTTAACTTTCTCATGCCATTTTCCAAAAATATTACATATAATAACACCATTGGGCAAGATATTAAATGCAATAAATCAAAATTTGTTGAGCAAAAATATATGTATTTTTATTGTAGAGAAAATCGAATAAATAATAATGAGTGTGCCACTTTGGCAGCTACCACCCATTTTTATTTCAAAATATTTCTCTTAGTGGGAAAACAATAATCGTCGCAAGGCCCATAGAAAAATTCAATCACAAAATAATAATCACTAATCGATGAATGACAAAATTCACGTGTGATTGAGAACTAAAATTGGCAACAAAATTTTAATATATAAAAGGCGAAATTTAAACGAACAAATAATAACAACAATAATTATGCATTTAACGAAAAAATAAAAGTTGTCTATTATTATTATTATTATTATTATTATTATTATTATTATTATTATTATTATTATTATTATTATTATTATTATTATTTTAAATGGGTAAATTTTAAATAAAATTTTAATTTGGATCAAAATTGACACTTTCCTTTAATTGTGGGTGGGGGCTTGCAATTTTCAAAAATTGCACACCATGCCCCCATCCCCAAACACCCGATCAGATTTAGAAAACCTCAGGATTTTTATTTTTATTTTTTATTCGTAAAACAATATGAGATCTTCCCAAAATTTGGACAATCAAGATCCAACTGGGAAATCAAAACCTGTATTCTTAGCTTCTTCAAAATAACAAAATTTCAATGAAAAGGAAATTATATATGGACATGCATACACATACAGAGACCTTGAAAAAGTATTCACCTACCAAAAAGAATTTTCCAAAAATAATTTTCTTTTTAAAACTTGGATGTAAGCACCCTCTTAAGTACAGAAAGCCCAAAAAGAATTCTCCTGCCACTGCGACTTCATCGGTGTCTAACAGCCAAACAGGCAGCAGCCGGAAGATGAAATACATGATGAAAAACAAAGGCAGTTAATTCACGTAATTTGTGATTGTGAGTTTATCCATAAACGTCTCCCCGAAGAGTCCACTACGGGGATTTCATTTTGAGAATTGAGAAAGAGAATATTGAATTGATCTGGCTACTATCATCCTTTATATATAATAATTAAGTAGAGAAAAAAGGGAAGGAAAGGGAAATCTCACATGGCACTTACTATAAATTATATCACTTTGGAATTTAATTTAAAGTTAGCAAACAATTTTGCATACAATGTTGAAAAGTTTGCAGAATATTTTTTTTTATTTGTTGACTGGAATATATGGGAAGCCGACAACGGGAAATTTGGTATCCATAATTTCATAATTCAAAAGTGGGAATTGAAAAATATAGTTATTTTACGAAGGATTCTAATCTTAACATGTCGGCTCTGATACCAAATGTTAAATTTAATTGCATGCTAAGAATTAAAAATCACAATACAATAAATTAATAAAACGAATTCATACCTGCGGAAGCCATTGTTGATATGAATTATAGTTGTGATAGTAGCTAAGATCTTCCCCTCCTTGCTCCTCACAAAAGTATTAGCTATCAATGGGGCAAGCTAATGAAACATATGGAGAGGAGAGGGGACCTAGCCTTTATATATAGGAAATAATTTGAGCCGTCTCATTACGACTAGAATTTTAATTAGAGTTTATTTTCGGCCCACATACTTTAAACTACCACATAAAATTAATTACAACCTGTAAGGTGTAAAAGGCCCAATTGATCACTTAATAAATTTTGGCCCAAACACAAATATCATTATGAGCCATATATCTAACCCGTAAAATTTTGCAATCGAATGTGAAGCCCACATATGGAATTATTAATTATTCCAACAGTTAATGGATAAATTTCACATCGATCAAATATCAAGATGTAGACCAATAAATAAGAGTTTGGGCTATTCTTACTTCTCTTAATAAGATTGATTTTTAAGATGTAACTTAAGTCTTAATAGCATATTGACTTGGTAGGCTGAACTGGTCCGACTAGAAAAAGGGACCTGTAGATTAATTCAACTTCGGTACGCTTTTTAGTTTCACAGTGGCGTAGGTATTTTCTTTGCATATGGGGATCAACCCCTATTTGGGCTCCATTATTTATAACAACCAAGCTGGAGATATAACCTCCTTTACATGGAGGTTGATAGCTCCCTCACAACAGGGGGGCCCACACCTTTTTTTATTGGCACGAGCCCCTGTTGTGAGAGGGTGTAATTTGTACCGTCCTAGTAGGACTATACAAATATCAAAATCCTATTTATGCGAGGAATGGTAACTTTTCAAAGAATGTATGGTGAAAAAGAAAGGAATTTTTTTTTTTTAATGTACATGTAATATTATTTATTGGAGAATGGGTGATTGATAAGAAGAGAGGAAAAAAATGAATATTAATTTAATGAGGGCCAAACATGAGCTTAATATAATCTGTCTGTCTGTCTAATTCTTTTAAGAACTTTTTGTGATGCCTTCCAGAATATCTCTGTTACTGAATCCATGGAAAATCAATCAGATTATTTCCATTGATGAACAGCAACTTTTATTGAGCACAATGGTGGAAATATTATCACTGCTAGTTAATAATCCACATAAAAAATAAAAATAAAAAAATCAATAAATAGTTTTATCTTCCCCCCATATTCACTATTACATGTCTGCTCTATAATCTTTATTCAGTCTTCAACAAATCATAATTAAGGGGATGAAAAGCTGATAAATGGGACTTTTAGGGACTTAAAATAATTTGTCAGTGTTTCTTCGCCTCTTTCTCAGCCTGCAAGAACAATTTTATGAGTCAATATGTGTTTAATATATCAATGTCTTTCTCTATGTGAGTAGTGGTTTTCCTCGACTAGCTTCTTACCGCTTTGATAACTCGATCGAAGGCTTCTGGACCATATTTCTCGATGTATTTCTCGACTGATTTCCTGGCGTCAAGGCTTATCATCTGAAGTACCCTTCTCTGACCTTCAGGATAATTTGGGTTCACATAGCTTCCAACTTTGACATATTTCCTCACAAAATTCTCATAAATGTAAGCAGCTCCATTGAAAACTGGCAACACTAGCCACAAACAGAATGTCAACTTGATATATGGCCAGATTGGGAACCTGTAGGAATTTTGGAAAATAAACATAATATCCTATATATGAATTTGTTGAAGACGAAAATTTAAATAAATAAACTTCTTTTCTGCCTTAAGAGGTAAGTTTTTAGATGAGTTAGTTCAATGTGAAGGTGTGCATGATTATATACGAAACTTGATGTGTGTTCTTGTATGATTACTTGAGTGGATTCAGCATTGACAATTAAAAACCGGTGGAACCGCCAGCAGTTCAACATCACCGTCTGCTCTGTTGTTTTGAAGCCGGGAATTGAAAAATATAGTTATTTTACGAAGGATTCTAATCTTAACATGTCGGCTCTGATACCAAATGTTAAATTTAATTGCATGCTAAGAATTAAAAATCACAATACAATAAATTAATAAAACGAATTCATACCTGCGGAAGCCATTGTTGATATGAATTATAGTTGTGATAGTAGCTAAGATCTTCCCCTCCTTGCTCCTCACAAAAGTATTAGCTATCAATGGGGCAAGCTAATGAAACATATGGAGAGGAGAGGGGACCTAGCCTTTATATATAGGAAATAATTTGAGCCGTCTCATTACGACTAGAATTTTAATTAGAGTTTATTTTCGGCCCACATACTTTAAACTACCACATAAAATTAATTACAACCTGTAAGGTGTAAAAGGCCCAATTGATCACTTAATAAATTTTGGCCCAAACACAAATATCATTATGAGCCATATATCTAACCCGTAAAATTTTGCAATCGAATGTGAAGCCCACATATGGAATTATTAATTATTCCAACAGTTAATGGATAAATTTCACATCGATCAAATATCAAGATGTAGACCAATAAATAAGAGTTTGGGCTATTCTTACTTCTCTTAATAAGATTGATTTTTAAGATGTAACTTAAGTCTTAATAGCATATTGACTTGGTAGGCTGAACTGGTCCGACTAGAAAAAGGGACCTGTAGATTAATTCAACTTCGGTACGCTTTTTAGTTTCACAGTGGCGTAGGTATTTTCTTTGCATATGGGGATCAACCCCTATTTGGGCTCCATTATTTATAACAACCATGCTGGAGATATAACCTCCTTTACATGGAGGTTGATAGCTCCCTCACAACAGGGGGGCCCACACCTTTTTTTATTGGCACGAGCCCCTGTTGTGAGAGGGTGTAATTTGTACCGTCCAAAGGAGTACCCGCGACTTGTCTCTTGTACAAAAAGTAAAAAATGTTGCCCCTCATGGAGTTGTCGAGTTGATGAAGTAGGTGAGCGCAGAAACTTTTAGTCACGAGTTTTCGATTCTCCCTACCAACATTTGCTCGGTCGAGTCTGTCACACAAGATTTGCCTAGTGCGGTTTACCTGACTGGCATGGTGCGAGGAATGGTAACTTTTCAAAGAATGTATGGTGAAAAAGAAAGGAATTTTTTTTTTTTAATGTACATGTAATATTATTTATTGGAGAATGGGTGATTGATAAGAAGAGAGGAAAAAAATGAATATTAATTTAATGAGGGCCAAACATGAGCTTAATATAATCTGTCTGTCTGTCTAATTCTTTTAAGAACTTTTTGTGATGCCTTCCAGAATATCTCTGTTACTGAATCCATGGAAAATCAATCAGATTATTTCCATTGATGAACAGCAACTTTTATTGAGCACAATGGTGGAAATATTATCACTGCTAGTTAATAATCCACATAAAAAATAAAAATAAAAAAATCAATAAATAGTTTTATCTTCCCCCCATATTCACTATTACATGTCTGCTCTATAATCTTTATTCAGTCTTCAACAAATCATAATTAAGGGGATGAAAAGCTGATAAATGGGACTTTCAGGGACTTAAAATAATTTCTCAGTGTTTCTTCGCCTCTTTCTCAGCCTGCAAGAACAATTTTATGAGTCAATATGTGTTTAATATATCAATGTCTTTCTCTATGTGAGTAGTGGTTTTCCTCGACTAGCTTCTTACCGCTTTGATAACTCGATCGAAGGCTTCTGGACCATATTTCTCGATGTATTTCTCGACTGATTTCCTGGCGTCAAGGCTTATCATCTGAAGTACCCTTCTCTGACCTTCAGGATAATTTGGGTTCACATAGCTTCCAACTTTGACATATTTCCTCACAAAATTCTCATAAATGTAAGCAGCTCCATTGAAAACTGGCAACACTAGCCACAAACAGAATGTCAACTTGATATATGGCCAGATTGGGAACCTGTAGGAATTTTGGAAAATAAACATAATATCCTATATATGAATTTGTTGAAGACGAAAATTTAAATAAATAAACTTCTTTTCTGCCTTAAGAGGTAAGTTTTTAGATGAGTTAGTTCAATGTGAAGGTGTGCATGATTATATACGAAACTTGATGTGTGTTCTTGTATGATTACTTGAGTGGATTCAGCATTGACAATTAAAAACCGGTGGAACCGCCAGCAGTTCAACATCACCGTCTGCTCTGTTGTTTTGAAGCCAGTTTCTTATCAAACATTTTCAGAGGCTAACCGACCCAGTTTTAGAGCCGGTCCTCGGTTTTACCGGTTGAACTAGCCGGTCGAGGCCGGTGCTTATGCCTGGTCAGTTCTCATAACATTGATATATAACATAGAATTCAGTAATTACCATTCAAGGACTTTCCAACAAGAAAGCTCAAAGAGGGTTATCAATGAGTATAAAATCCAATACGTTAACCACTGTTGATCATCCAATGTTGAAGGGCTCTCAATTGCTCTCAGCGATGCATATCTGTTCGTTTATTCATTGAACTGTTCTTAATTTATCAAAAAAATAGAAGGAATTTCTGGAGGAAAAAAGAAAAAAATATTTTGGACTTACAGAGGATATAGAAGCATTGCTCCATGTCTGTATATTCCTCAATCAAGGAAAATAACAAACAATTAGATATATATGGACTTACAGGAAGTAAATATTCATGAATTATTAACTTTATAAAATATTATCCGAATGTCTGGAGACTGGAATCATTAAAAATTTAAATCTGGAAAAAAAAAAGTAAAAGTTTGGAAAAATGGGTTCTTATCCATTGGATTGAAAGTACCCAGCAAGAGCATCCAAATTTCTTGCAATCGCTCCAAGCATAACCATCTTGATATAACACTTTTCTTAGCCTTCTCTCTGGTATTTTGAAGTTACAGAAATATTGGTGACGGGATTCAAATTACTGTATTTTTTGGGTTTTTATATATTTTTCTTAGTTTGTCATCGAATGCAATATGAAGTAAAGAATTTCTTTCATGACAAGACAAAGTATTGTTTCCTTGGACAAGAAGAAAAAGAAAGTACGAGAGCGAGACGGCAAGAAAGAGAGAAAATCAAAAGGTGATTTGCAAAGGCGAACTAGTTGAGTTTTCTTTCTAATACTTTTGAGGATTGAATTTATACCTTTCTTTCTAAATGGTGTCATACCCTAATAAGTATAATTTCACCCATTTTCCCTAATTTGTTATAAGAAGAACGGGAATATCTTTAACATTTCTTTTGAAATGAAGCCTTTATGTTATGACTAATAAGTATATTGTATTGATTTTCAAAGGAGTACCCGCGACTTGTCTCTTGTACAAAAAGTAAAAAATGTTGCCCCTCATGGAGTTGTCGAGTTGATGAAGTAGGTGAGCGCAGAAACTTTTAGTCACGAGTTTTCGATTCTCCCTACCAACATTTGCTCGGTCGAGTCTGTCACACAAGATTTGCCTAGTGCGGTTTACCTGACTGGCATGGCTTGCAGGTTATTGCGTCAACCCAAGGGTTTACCCAGTGCACACTCGAAGGGTAGCGGCTGAGGGTTCCTCCATCATTAAAAAAAAAAAAAAAAAGTTCTAAAATCAATGATATTTTGAGAAAACGTCGATCTTTCACTAGAGAACTTCAAATGCAAATTAGTATGCTTAACTCCATGATTAAAGTTTTAGGACCCAGTGAAAATTTGGCTAGAGATGCGTGTTTAGACATCAAATCTCGTAAATATTTGGGTCATTATGTTCGCGCAAAAACATTTTACTAAGCATTATTAGTGCTTCGGTCTTCGTCATTTAAGATTACAAATCGATTTTTGGTTAATAACGATCAAAAGTATTTTAGTAAAATTAACTTTTATATTAATGGAAATGTTATTAATAAGTAAGTAATCAAAAAGATAAGAATTAAGCCCTGATTGGTACCAATTAAAATCTATATTTTAATCTAAGTCAAAATCAACAGTTAATTTTAACCACATATATTATAGATTTCACAACTTTTCAACTGTATATTTCATCAACTTCTATCAAAATCTATTAAAATTTTGATTTTATTCCCCACCAAACAAATCTTAAATATGGATTAATTATGTCAATAGTTTTGAGCAATTTTATTACTTTTTTACGGTAATAGTCACTCAAGTTTCTCACTTTTATATTAATGACGATCATTAGATTTTAAAAATATTAAATCATATGTAGTACCATTAAGTGTCAATATGTCACGAAACGACATTATTTATTACACCAAGTCAGTAAAATTGAAAGTCAAGAATACGTTTAGATGAAAAATGTAATGCGACTTTGATTTTGGTCTTTTTTTTTAAAAATCATATAGAAAAACACTCATCATTATAACGATTTTTGCTAATTTGACATAATAAATTATGTCATCTGATGACAAATTAATAATTAATAATGAAAAATAGAATTTGATTTTAGAATTTTTTTTATCTATTTGACCATCATAAAATGAACAATACTATCTAACATTAGTGGTTCTAAAGCTTCAATTTAAGTGTCTATATTTTATATGTTCAATTAAATAAGTCACATGACTTTTATTTAAATGAATCTATCATTTAATGTCATACAATTATCACATAGATCGATACTTAACACCAATGATGATTAATAATATTACTCTTATAAAATAATTATAGACTTCAATGGGAGATAGATAACACCTCAGATTGACAAAATTTGTGGATGAAAAGTTATGATTCCAATAAAATATATAATTAATAATTAATTTTGACTTAAATTTTAATTTCTTTAATTTTAATTTTTTTTTTTTTTTTTTTTTTTTTTTTTTGGGATTGAACCTAACTACATAATGTTTGTCAAACAATGAGTTGGACAACTAGCCCCTCACATAAAAAGTCAGAATCCGGCATGCTCAAATTAGTATGCACAGGCTAAAGTACCCTGTATTTAAACGAATAATGACTTCTCTCTATTGATATGGAATACTAGATTAAATAAGAGCCCGTTTGACATAGCTTTTGCTTCTTGTAGAAAAGTATCCTAAGAAAGATATTTTAATTTTTGTTTGAAATTTAATTTTTGAATGAGCTTTCGTTCCGAAAGTGGTATTGAAGAAAGACACATTGAAACAATTTTCTCTAAAAAAATTTCTCAATAGAAGAAACACTTTCATAGAATTAGTCAAATGATCTCAAAATCTCATTTTGACTTCTTGAAAATCATCAAAAACATGCCCCCAGCAATTCAACTCGAAAAAGTAATGAATATCCTAAGCAAGGATTTAGACTTCTTGGACCAAAAGACGAAGGAAAGAATTCTAGCAATTTAAATCCTTCCAAAGACCACTTCTACTACATAAACTTGTTTCCACATGTAATGATGAATTTTGAGCAACTTTAGCACTTAATGTTCTAGAAAGTGTAAAATGTGGAGACCAAACTTAAAGTTTTACAAATCTAGACGAGTGTGTACTTAATAATTCCTACAATTAGTCAATTATACAATTTTCAAGTTTTTAGTTTTTGAAATGTAAAAGTTGGACTATTTTTCATAGCATAATTACATAATATAGATAGTATCAAAATGATATTCCCCCATTTTTTCATATGATAATGGGTGGAATAGTATTTTTTGGGAGAACGAGTGATTGAAAAAGAAGGAAAAGTCCTCGATTTGCATGTAATATTATTTTATGGAAGATTGTGTGATTAAAAATAAAAGAGAGAAAAATAAAATTTAATGCACATCAAATATGGGCATTATATTATCTTTTGTTAAAATCTACTAAAAATTTAATTTTTTACTAAATCGAACTACTGTAGATAATATATGTAATTGTGCTATGTAACTGCTGATGTGTTGTACATTTTATTCCATTTTGATTTTGTAATGCGGTATTAAAACCTTCCATTTGTCTCAGCCCTATTGGTGCTCAATTCATTCATAAATGATAAATCATTTTAATTGGAACACACTAATACTCAGACCCTATTTACTTATAATTATGCTGCAATGTCAGATGTCTAGATCTAATTTTGGATATAATGTCAGATTACATTTCATTATTGAACTAATTTAAATACAGTTAACTTTTCCATAAAAGCATTTGTTGTCGCCTCAAATTGTGTCATTGCATCTTTTAACTCCTTAGCTTACTTGGCTCCAAACAAAATTTAGAATCTGCGTATATAGAATGCTTCTGTCGTCTTGAAAGGTTTGGTAGTTTACCAGCTAGCATTTTTACAGGGTACGCAAATTCAATTTTTTGAGATCTCCTCCGAAGTGTTCATTACATAAACATCCACGTATAAAATTCCCTCCTTTATCACAACAGCTCGTTCAATCCAATTTTTTTTTGGCCAACTCAATTCTCTTATACATCAGTCCAATGCACTGGGCTCATCTCATGGAGGAAAAAGGCCATTTACTTATCCCAACAGCCCCACCAATTGTCACCCATAACAATGAATTATTGATTGGTCAAATCATCGAGTTGATCTTTATTCATTGCATTGCTTAAGGGTTATAGGTTTTTGAACTTGCTAGAATCAAAAAGTAATATATAGAGGTGAGTCGAGCTTGTTCTCGTGCAATTTTGATGGAAATGTTTCCTTTTTAGTTACCATATTCGATTATGACTATCAATCAATTTTTCTATGTTTAACTTTATTTGTATCCCTCAAAACTATTATTAAAATAACAATTGTAAATAGTTCTTTAAACTGTAAATGAGAAGTAAACATGTAAGCAATTAAATCAACAATTCCGCTACAATGTTCGAGTTTTTTTGACAGAGGGGGTGACCGACTCTTACGATGACGGGCCCACTTTTATTGAACTTTTTTATTCACACGGGACCCACGGAGTGTGAGAGGACATCAACCATTTAGGCAAAAAAATCCCGATAAAGCAGCAAATTCTTAAATTAATGCGCAAGTCTCATGCATGTTGAAAATCCTCAATCATCCGTGTAATAAATACATATCTTCGTGACATGTCACTTTCAAACATCCTACAACTCATTCCTTAAATTGACTTAGCTAAAAAGTTGATAAAAATTTAAATCAAAATCATCAATTAACTTTAATCACACATTCAATGAGTTTAGTTTCTAATTTGGAGTAGAGAAAAGGTAACATTTATATTCCGATGAAGAAAGTGTTATCGATCGTGAAAAGATACTTGATAGATTGAAAAGAGTTTACAATATACGATAAATCCTTCACATCATGACACATTTATATGTTTTAAATTGATCTATCGACCTAATTTACTAAATAATGTATGATTAATCAGATTAACAATGAGATTCTCTCTTTTAAAAGAACAATATTGTTAAGCGTAAATTCTAAATTAATTAAATATTAGAATAATAATAAACATATAATTGTTTGATGTCAATATTGAAATGTCAACCTTCGAAAGCAGACATTGCTCAAATGTGTTATTCGATTCGTTTAAAAGTTCAAATATTAAAATAAATAATCAAGTTCAAGGTAATTCTTTTGACAAGATCGACCTTCTAATAGGGAAGGTCAAATTAATATTTTCAGTTAGTTAGGAACATGACTGTTACAATTTTAAAAAGTTGAAGATTTGAGTGCAACAAATAGTAAGTTGGGGACATTGGCGCCACACTTGCAACAGATTTGTACCCCTACTGAAATTTCCTTAGAATATGATTACTCCTTTTCATTCATACTCCGATCTGATTTTCTTCTCATTCCGCTGATTAAAAGTCTCAGTCGACGCGTAAATTCTGAACTTTACGTGTAGCTAAATTATAATTGTGGCAAAACAGAGACAGGGATTTACGAGAGGCAATTAATCAAGAAATGGCAGTAAATCCTAGGGTATTGAAGTTAGCGCTGGGGATAATGGCGGTGTGCTTGGCAGGATACATAATTGGCCCGCCTCTGTATTGGCACTTCGTGGAAGGATTAGCTGCTGTAAACCGCTCTTCCTCCACTTGTGCTCCATGTATCTGTGACTGTGATTCCGAGTCCCTTCCTTTCATCCCCCTAGGTATGTACAATAGATACGGACATGCATAATTATATATATATATATATATATATATATATATATATATATGTGTGTGTGTGTGTGTGTGTGTGTGTGTGTGTGTGTGTGTGTGTGTGTTGCGATGTATATGTCTAGATCTGCTTAGATCTCTTACTGGGAAGTTTGATTTTCGTCTGTGATCAACTGGCTGGCATTTTTGTAATAAATCTTATTTCACTTTGATAAAGACTCATTCTATTACGGTTTGTGCTAAGTGCCCACATGTGAATTTCGACATTATATGGAAATGTATAAAAAAAATTGGGGTAGTTTGGGTGTGTATATCTCTCAAAGAAGTTGCTACTGTTTGATGGAGATACAATTCTGTTGCTAATAGTGTGATACGCACATCAAAATGTGCCTTAGAAGTGAGGGAGGCTACAAAGAGGATGAAGATGAGAAAAGCAGTTGGATTGCATGCAAACTTTTGTAACACGGCTTACAAACTTGTTCAATGATATCTTGAAAGAGTAGAAGTGCAACATGGATGGAAAAAGAACGGTGCCAATTTATGAGTGTAAAAGACATTATTCAAAATTGTACTACTTACGAATGTGATCATAACTCATACTACATAAAAGAAAAGAATGTTTGAGCATTGATTAAATTTGTAATTTGAAGGTCTTAGAGAATCAGTTTGTTTTTATACTAGGATGATCTAGTATGGAATTCCTGCATAAAAGATGAATGGAGACGTATAGAGGAAATAAACAAGAAATGCAATTATGTTTGCTGGTTTTGGAAAAGCATGTATAATAGGGAAACTACGAAGTGTTACAATGAGTTTTAAAGAGAGAAGAAAATTCGATTGGATACATCAATATGATTGAAGCTATATACAGTGTAGTATTCATGAGTGTGAGATGTCTTCATGATAGTAGTACAGAACGTCCATTACTAAAGAGTTTGCGACCAAATTCTGACTTAAGTACTTTCTCTTTATTTGAGTCATGGATTAGCTTATGAAACATATCCAAGATGAGGTTCCTTGGTGTATGCCATTAGTTGTTGGAATTAAGACTCTTGCTATTAACTTCCTTCTGTCATCTTTTGTCATTCTTCTAGTCAATGAATCTCTTGTACTGATTATACCTTTTTTATTGTTGCAGGACTGAGTAATATATCCTTTGCAGGTTAGTATGCCACTTTCTTGCCTTTCACTTAATTATGGTTTGTGCTTGCACGTGTTTCTGTTTCAGATGCCAACATCAAGCTTTATTTACAGTTGTTTTGTCTTAGGTTCTGATTTTGTGGAACTAACAATTAACTGTCTGTTTAATAAATGCTTGCTTTTGTCACCCTCACTCGTTCGTTATTCTGATGAAAAGAAGCTTGTGATAAGTCCCTTGTATTATCATTCATAGGCATTGGTCAAATACCTGTTTCTGTATTATTCTGAGCCATTAATAAAGGAGCACCTGAAGCCTAAATTTCTTAAGCTATTGATAATATAATATGAAAACTATTTTTGACATGTAAAACTCACTATTGTTTCCAAAAAGCTGGATTGAGACCAGCCTAGGGTCTAGCCCGAGGTATAATAAATAAATATATATAACATACCTTAAAAATGGACCAAAAAAAGGTTAAATTTTCACCAGTAATATATAAATATTAAATTTGAAGGCTCTACAGTCGAACAGGTCGGTAGTTTTTTTTTTAAGTGCAACTGGAAAATCTGGTCAATTCAACTGGATCGACCGGATCGAACCCTAGATTTTATAAAAATGTACAACTGGATCAAACCCAAGATAATAAATAAATAAATAAATATATAACATACCTTAAAAATGTACAAAAAAGTAAAATTTAATCAATAAATTATAAAAACCGAATTTGATGATTCTAGGGTTAAAAAGCGTTTTTTATTTTAATTTTCTAGAAAAGTGCAACTGGAAAATCCGGTCAATCGATGACCTGTTAAAGCAGTCCCTGTTGAACTGGATAGTTGATTTTGTTCTGTTTTCAATACCCGGTTTTTAGCAGTAACTGAACTGGTTTCTGGGTTGGTTCCCAGGTTGTTATTTGATCTGGCTGGGCTGGTCCGGGTCCTCCAACATTAATATTCTTTGCTCTACCCTCACTTTTCGACACACTCACTTTGACATCTCATTGTCTCGATAAGTTGAAAATCTTCCCTGATTGATTGAATGTTTTGCAACTCACACTTGGAATAGCAGCTTTCATGGTCTTTCGGTCTCTTTCGCCTCTTCCCCATGTTTGGGTGTTCTTCATTTCGGGAATTCTAAGTGTAATAAAGGTTTGTAAATGCTTATCCTAGAAGACGGCGTCTGCTAGCAGGACATCTTGATCTTCTTTGCCTATGCTCCTGGGTTTAGTGGAAAACAAGTAAATGTTAGGGGGTTAGGACTAAAAATATCATGATGTTGGCATATCCTTTGAGTTGGTGAGACCCCAGGAGGTGAGTAGTGCTGAACAGGAAATCTTCCTTGGGGTCGTTAAGTGCTCGGGTGTTTGCATCCATATATAGATATGGTTCTGTTTACCTACTCCAGTGGCATTATGCTGTAGTTTTGTTGCTAAAGCACACTAAATGATAGATATAGTGGCACAGTTGGAGGGTAAATTAGTAGTTGTCACCCTTTTCTTAGGCCCACTGGAATCTTCCATTCCATTCTTCACTTCACTACATCGCCCTTTTCTTTTAGCCTTTCCCTCTCCATGTCACTTTCTTTCTCTGACTAATTTCTCTATTTCTGATCATAATATATCAGTCACAGGCATCACAGACCTTCAATCCACTAGTTTTTGAAGTCTGTTCAACATTATTATTTGATCCCATTATTAAAATGAGCAGTTAATTAAAAAATATCAGGCTAACTAAGTCAGAAATTTGTGAATCATTTGCTTTTGAGAAATAGGTTTCAGATTCATGCTAAGCAGCGTCTTTTGTGCCTGTGCTCTTGACTACATTGATCATATTACGTTGTTATTGGTGGCATTTGATAATGTTCATGGTGCTAGTGAGAGTGATTGCAATAGTATTGCTTTTTAAAGAAACTAGGTTGATAGTAATAGTATACGTGGAGCATCTGATTTACCTTTTTACATGCTTATATTTCAATTCTTCTATTTAACATCTTCCGTTAGATTTTAGAGTGTGAAATATATTTGTATAAAATTTCCATGTTTTGATTTAACTAGATTTGGATGATTAATTTTCTCCCCAATTAACATAAGAGTGCTTCTCTTCATTCACCAATTATAATCATATCAGACTCCACTCAATGCATACGATAGTAAGAAAGACCAAGAATCTTAATATTAGATGTGAAACTGGAGATAATATCTGTCATTATCTTTCCTTCTGAGACTAACCTTTTTTCCTTGATGGTAATCCGATGCGCAAGTCATGATGTTATTAGCGCAAGGCTCTTTTGTTGGTAATGTCTCTCTCATGTTTGCAGATTGTGCAAAGCACGATCCAGATGTGAGTGAAGACACACAGAAGAACTTTGCAGAGCTATTGTCCGAGGAACTGAAGCTGCGAGAAGCTGAAGCATTGGAAAAACAGCAGCGGTCCGACGTGGCACTGCTTGAGGCCAAGAAGATGACATCCCAATATCAGAAAGAGGCAGACAAATGCAATTCCGGGATGGAAACATGCGAGGAGGCAAGGGAAAAAGCTGAGGCTGCTTTATTTGCACAGAAGAGACTGACTGCTGTATGGGAGCTTAGGGCACGCCAAAAAGGATGGAAAGAGGGAGTTGCCAAGTCTCGTGCAAATGTACAGGCTATATGACTTCCCAGTGCGCTGTATCAAATTAGCACGGGATGCTGCATCTGCATAGTAACAAGTTCTCAATTTCTTGTCTTGGCTCGAAAGGGGGCACAAGGCCTTAGTACCATCCGAAATTGGATCATATGATTCAGCTTCGTATAGAGGGTCATTTCTTCTTCTCCAACAAAGCATCTTTTGTGCTATAAGGTGCCATCTCAAAATTTACCCAATATATCTATTTGTTTGAAGTAAATTGTTAAACAAGAAAGCGAGAAACCTTCCACATGCACATCAGGAACTGGAAGTTCATTAGACAGACAGTTTGCTTATATATATGGATAACTTGATAAATATAAAGATAGTTCTAAAGGTTAATGAGTTCAGTTGATCATAAGATTATAACACGATTTTTTCCAATGTCCTTTTTCTTATCTAAGCAACCTGCTCCTGCCTGTTCGACACACACACACAGAGAGATTGCACGTAGAAATGTTTGGCTAGTCTATATTTTCCCGTTATTACTCTATTTAACCAGTTCTCTTTAGAATCGAACCATGCTACAATTTGCCATGAAATTTACCCAAGGTGAGGACCAAAAAAAATAAAAATAAATGATATAGTGGGCATTACTTGGTCTCGTGTAATATAAAATGGAGAGAATGGAAAGTAAAGAATGTCACGCTCCTTCGATTATTATTTGCACAAAATTCAAGCAACTAGGCCGAACTTGAAACACTTTGTGCAAAGATAAGGCATATAACGATTGAGATTATAAGAGTAGCATTACATCCTTCATTACAAGTAATTAATTGTCTCACTTGGACTTCTCAACTGCAGTGATTGAACCAGAAGAAATTGTAATGTCATCATATCTCTGAAACAAATAAGCCACAAATAACGCTGCAGTTAAGGGCACAATCTCTTTAGCTGCACACTGCTTGTTGGCTGCCGTGGCCGATCCAGTTTGTGGCCCGTTTGACCAGTATAGATAATTCAGCAACTCTGTCCCGCCTTTCTCTCTTGTAAATCTGTCGTATAAAAATGTCGCAGGACTCTCTTCGAAGACTTTGGCATCTTTCATCACCAATGGCTGATACCCACAGAGAAGCTCTCCTTTCTTGATTTCGTAAACAGCATCATGCGAGGTCAGCTTGAAATCCTTTCTAGCTCGGGCGAATTGCGATGGAACTGGCGGGTTCAATCGAAGAGTTTCGTAGACAAATGATTGTACTAATTCCATATCCTTTACACTTTCGAAACTGAGAGTATTTGAATTGGAACCAGATTTTTGTCTTACTTCATCCCGGAGTTTTTCGTGTAGCCCAGTACTTTTCTGATCCCCGATCGCACTCAAGAGCGCCAGAAAGAATATCGTAAACCCACCAAATGCATTGAATCCTAAGATGAAAAGAAGATTGTGAATTGCTTCTTGTTCAGTCAGATTGAATTCAGTTTGAGCTCTTTGTATAACTTCTTTGCCTTCTTTTTCCACAAACTGCACCAGCTTGTTGTAGTCTCCTTTAACAAGCCAGAAAGGGTATGAGAAAGAATGGAGGAAGAGTTCTTCGAGGGGTTGTAGAATGCCGATGTTGACAGTCGGCAGGATCTGAATACCGAGCCACTTGTCGAGCATAATATGGCCAGAGCTGGCGATCTCAGGCGAAGTCGAGGGGTCTGCTCCGACAATGCAGCGAGTAAGGAACCTAAAAAGGAATTGCTGCATGAGGAGGAAAGAACTGGCTGAGCCGGAGTTGGCAACGTCAGCGTCAATTTTGTCCCACATGGAGTCTAGTGAACTTATGAGTGACGGTACCCAAATGGTCGAGCTTCGTTTCAAGATATCGAGTGAAAAGTTCTTAATCTGTAACGTTCAATCAAACATTTCAACCCCTTCATCCTTTAATCAAATCAGGTAGAATATACATTCTACTAAAATAAAATTAAAATACGAAGTTCCTACGTGCATAAAAATTTAACCATTTCAGAAGATTAGAACTTTAAAAGTAGAAGTCCTGTCAAACGAATTCGAAGTACACCATTATTATTGATTTTGACTAAAATATCTCTGCCATTTCTTTTATTACGCAGAAACTCAACGTGGTCCAAAATTTCTGACAAGTCTAATCAAGTCCATACATCCAAAAAATTTAAAAGCTTACCCCTAACGTGGTCACACTGGAAACAACGACGACAAAAATAATGTTAGCATGTCCTTATCGGATCGAAAATCACGTGTTATGGTTTTTCAATAATTCCAAACTTGAGTTGCTAGGTCCCCTCCATGACCACCGCCTACATTGGGAAATATCGGTATCCATTGATCCTATCAGCTAGCTAGTATTCTAACGAGAAAGTAGAAAATACTCGTGAATATACATGTATATAGAAATATCATATAAACATTAGATATAGATGAATAAATTTAAATAAAAAATTTGATAAATATCAAGACTGTCACATCGTTCTTTTTCTTCAATCGGACTAACATACGTGGGAGGTTTGACCATATTGTCACAAATTTTATGTTAACAAAGAAATATAATTAAAAGATTAGTTAGTCTACATGTACAAAAATTTAAGTGTACAGATGTTGTACAAAATACACACATCAAGGGGGTAGGTGATTTTTTTGGTAATAAAATATTCATGTAGGATCCACCGTTTATGAGACTCTATACACATTCTATAAATTTAAAATTCTGTACACTCAGAATTTTTGTTAAAAGATTAATGATCACGAGTTCATTTAAACCCTACACTACGCATAGAAAGTGGACTAAATAATTAAAACTAGGTAATCCAATGTACTTTAATTGATTGGTCAATTAAATTACGTGATATAGATATGGATTTTAAGATAGTATTACCCTAAACAATAAATGAAAGGAGCTCACACTGGCCAGAATAGGTGCTAAAGTCATGAGTTTTGCTTTTTGTACACCACCCAAGTGTACAGCCCCTCTTATAGGTTATCCATGCCCAATAAAAAATTGTGGGTCCCTTGTTTGGAGATGGCTGGAGGGTTGTATACCAAGGTGTCACGCTTAGCAAAATCCTAAAATCATTAAGCCCTTGAGTCTAAATGATTTTTTCTCCATAGCCCTTGAGTCTAAATGATTTTTCTCCAAAGGCATCTTTAATGTTTTTTAAATTATATAACTAGACACGGGAATTGTTAAGAATGAAAATTTCACATTGGTTAAATATCGAAATATTGATCAATTTAAAAAAATCTCAAACAACTCCTTTTCACAAAATTGACCTTATTAAAATGGATCTCAAATCTTAATAGAAATCACTGATCTCCTATAGAGAGAGTGTTTCTATTAGAATAAGCAACTTTCATAAAACCTCGAAATCGTTCACAATTTTGACAATCGTAATTAAATTAACCCATCAAAAAATAATATAGAGTCAAAAAATAATGGAGTTTCCAACACATCACACGTTAACTAAGAATCAAGATATTTCACGTGTAGTGGGTCACACTGCATTAATAAGTACAAAAATAATATTATACATAGCGTGGTACCCATGTGACCAATTTAATGAAAAATACTTGTAAATTCAAACCTTTTTATTTTCCTTGTAAGGTCATCTCCAACCCTGCACCAAATTTTACATTATTTTATATCAAATTTTACATTAAATCTTGCACCAAACTAAAATTCATCTCCAACCATTACACAAAAAATTACACCAAATGAACAGTATTTAACCATTTTCTTTCCCTTTTTATTCTTTATAATTTATTTATTTGAAATATTATTTATTTAATTATTTTATAAATACATAAATTACTAAATAAATAATTACGTTAAATTACGGAAAAGATTAAATTCATTAATAAATTATTTTAGCAATTTTGGAGGATTTGAAAGTGATCTTCCAAATTATTGAACTATGTATTTTTTTTTAAAAATTAAATTAAATTATCGTATATATGTTGTTATTTAATATATTTCGTGTTAATTTTAATAAATAATCGTGTTTGATGTATTTTAAATTGTTTTCGTCTTTTAATTAATTAATT